TGTCCAATCTTATCGTAACTAGCTACAAATTTATAGAAATTTTGTATTGCACAGGAATTATTGGCTAGTTGATTGATTAAGTAATTTCTCTAAATTATTATGATATAAACTGACTAAATAATTATAGTCATATAGCCATAATTTAACATGTACAGTTACACTTACATAACACTACTCCTAAATTTTAGGGGGGTGAATTGTTCTCACATTGGTAGTAGCTTGAGTTTAGGGCTCGTTTGGAGAATTGGAGTCTAAATCTATAGATTCTAGACAATTCAAAGATTTTAACTCTCGATTGTTGAAAAAAGATTTGAAAATGTTCATTGTTTGGTAACTACGATTGCTAACATCCAATGAAAAAATAAATTCAATTTTTTTTTATTAAATGATATGTTTATCCTTAACTAAAATAATTAGATTGCTCGAAAACTATTGAGAATTTATTGGTGAGGGTATTTAGTGGGATAAATGAAAAAAAGAAGAGATATAGTAGGAGAAAGAAAATCTCCAAAATCAAGATGTAGAATCTCTCTAATTATGAGAGATTTGATATCTCTAGATTTTAGAGATTTAAAATCTCTGAAGCTACAATCCACGATACAAAAAGTAACAAAAAAACATAACATTTTACTAAATCTATTGATTCAATAAATCCATGATCCAAATCTTGTTAATCCATGATCGTTTAGGAGTGTTCGAAGCAACCTTTTAATTGTGGGAAAAACTATCGACATTCTCATAGTAGTTTGAATTTGGGAAAAAAAGTAAAAAATAAGTGGCGATTTTTGTGATTTAAATTTGTTATACTGCAATTATTAGAATATGTTATCTAATAAACTAAATCAATTTTAATTGTATTAAAACATAAATATAACTATAATATAAGACCAGACAAAGTCCAATTAATCCAATTTTCCAAAAAATTTCATCGATACCCTAAACACTAAATTTTGAATCTTCTGCCATCTGATATTGATGAAGCTTGTATCACTAGTGGGTAAAATTGTTTTACTTAGTTATTGATCTTTAACTATGAGAGTTGAACTACTAGTTTTATGAGGAGAATACTAGGTTATTGACTTGTCGTTGCCTAGAGAATGAATTTGTTGCTTTTGACAGAGGTTATCCTAATTTCATTGGTATTCTTTCAAGCTCATTTATTCTCCACAGAATTATTATCGTTGTGTCAAGAATTATGAGTGGTTCTCTGGACTAAAAGGAATTAATGAATATGATTAGTTTATGGTGAAGTGATTCGGGTCCAATTGTACATATTTTGCCCCTAATTTCTTGATAGTTGGACTTTGCATTTCATCGTTCCTTGACATATTTCACGCTAGGCTGTGCTTGTTTTGATACATTTCAAGTCCTAGCATGTGTGGAAGGGTCAATGATGAGTTCGGGACGATTGGACGTCAAAAAGCACAAAAACCGAAGAAAAGTAAAGTGACGGTCCCGTGATAGTGAAGCGCAAGCGTCCAGGAACCAGGCACAGTTCACGGTCAGAGCTACGAGTTCACGGTTGCCAGGACCGTATACTGGGACCAAAAAAGGTGAACAGCGAGGTCTCCAGGAGGGTTCCACAGGTTACTCACGACAAGGCAATTCACGGTCTCTAAGACCGTGAACTTGGATCACAAACTGTGAACCCCCGAGAGGGAAGCGGTGAATTTTGGAGACGATACTGAGTTCACAAAAGCGTTTAGGTGTTCATGGCCGTGAACTGGAAGGCCGTCAACTCAGCTCGATCTGGGTAAAAAACAGCAGCAGAAGGAAGAAGAAGGGGGAGCTTGTTTTTGTGGAGAAGGAACACTTTCGTTCTCTAGGGTTTCAACCCAAAACACCAAAGGGGAATTCTAGTGAGAGAGAGAGAGAGAGTGATCTTGGAGCTTAAATGAAGGCATTGATCAAGCTTGGAAGCTAGGAATCAAGCCTAGAAGAAGAAGATGAAGATCTAGAGGTTTCTTTGTAATCTCTCCTCACTCTAGAAACTCACCCACTTCTCTTGGGATTAAGAACCATAGGTCTAGATTTGGGTTTAATGTTGATGTATATGACAAACTCCATGATTAATTGATGATTTTACTTAATTGATGGATGTTTTCATGAATGGCATGAATTGGATTTTTATTTTCATGTATTGAGATTTTGACCTAGGAGGGATATAATTCCCTTAGAGCCCACCTTTTGGCGTCTTCGGGTCACTCCTATTGTATATTGTCCGGGTAGTCTCCGACGGAGTTGATTCGACTGGTCTCCTTGTTGGGCGAAAATCAGCGTCGAAAGGTCATAGTTCTAGGTTATCTAAATCAAAGGATATCAGAGGCAAATCAAGCAAGCTAGTTGTCAAACAACCTTTCTTATTGAACAAACGGTCATTTGCTGCTCTATTTATAGCGTCCTTTGTAAGCAGTGTTGAAGCATCTTTGCAGTGAGCGGAAAAGGGCTGGTGGGCAAAGAGGGTTAATTTAGATAGACCAAAAGTTTCTATTTGATTAACGGTTGTAATGGATCTGGGATTTGGATCTGGTTCTGTTCTTGTTACAATGAGTCTATATTGTTTTGCTTTTCTTCATAAATCGCTTGATAGGAAAATTTAATAAAAAGAGAGTCTCCTAGAATTCAGTGGGTACTGATTGTAGGACGAAGATTAACCAGTAGTTTGGGAAACTCGTTAAATTGATCTTGTCCATTAGTGTTTCTACTATGTTTTTGTTTGTAGTTCTTATCTTTCTATGTTCTTGACCTACAACTCGTTTCTGGGGATTCCTGTCAAAGGAAGAAGAAGAGTTCGGGTGGCTTGCGGTTTGCGCTCTATGCTTTAAGCCCAAAGTTTCTTTCGTTTTAATTTCTTCTCTTAATTTCTGGGTTTACTATATATTGGTTGGTCTTTCACTTGTTAAAGCCCATTCACCTTGCTGGAGAAACAAAAGAAGACGACCAACATCGTGCTCATCTCATTTGTCTTTCCCCGTCATCAATTTCATCTCCGTTTTTCCTTTCTTTGAAAGTCAAAATCCCTAAATTTTCTGATCTCAATCTGACTTCAATTGGTATCAGAGCCTCACCTTGAGAGAGCTCATTACTGCCAAGTGGAATCGATCCATGGATACATCATCTTCATTTTCGTTTGGATCTTCGCCATCTTTCACATGTTTGAATTAAATGACCTGGAAATGACAGATGCAGAACTTTCTCTTGGGAGTTCATGAAGGTCTATGGCTCATTTTTTGTGATGGCCCACTTGCAGTTAACCCTGAGGAGTAGAATGCCTGGACCACCGACCAGTGAAGGAGTGCACAAATGAACTGTAGGGCCATGCATATTTTGCAATTGACCATGTCACCGGTAGAAGCTGACAAAGTTGAGCATTGTGAGTCAGCCATGGAGATATGGAATTGTATGGAAAAGACCTATAAAGGGACGTAAAACATCAAAGAGACTCTAATCGACTTGCTCATGCATGATTACAAAAATTTGAAATGCAATCATGTGAGGGTATCCGGGATATGCATTCTCGTTTTACTATATTGATTAATCGTCTCAAAGGATAAGGAAAAACTTTTCAATCTAAGGAGTTAGTTCGAAAAATTTTAAGATCCCTTCCTAAGGAATGGCTGCCTAAACGAACTGGCATAGAGGAGGCAAAAGATTTAAGCAATCTCTTTGTGGATGAATTGATGTGGTCTCTTTTTAGCCATGAATGAAACACCCTAACCCGGACGGGTACTAATTTTACTAAAATGCCCTTGATAAATAAAATACTCAAATCTTAAATTGCAGCGGGAAAAAAAAATTCATAAATAAAATACTGAAAACACACACTTGTAGCTCAGAGCAAAGCCCTAACACGTGGGCAAATTAAACTCAAACTTTAACATCTCAATCTGATCTCCAGTCTATACTCATAATCATAAAATTTAAATAACTAAGTAGTCTCTGTCGTTGCTGCTACTGAAAATCTTAACTGGGCATCCTCCGTGACGCTTGCACTGCCCTCCTCTAGCTGGTTGTCCTCGAACTTTTCCTCTCGAACTCGCTGCTCTCTAACTGCTCCTCTAGCTAGCTGCTATCGATCTGGTTCTCGCTCATTCCCTTACTAAGTCCTGGTGAGTGAGTTGGGGTCAGTCTACGCCCTTACGTTTTAATACCTCTAATACTTGAATACTTTACTTAAACACTTAACTTAACTAGTGAAAGTTGTTTGTACTTCCAATCTTAAAATCCTAACTCTTAAACTTTGAGGGAGTTGAAGTTACTCTCCCCTCTTAAAACTCAAATCTTAACTTAAATACTTGATTGACACGAGGATCCCTCACTAGCTAGTCCGGTTGCCCACTCATATGTATGAGAAGCCATCAAGGTTTTCCTTAAACTTAAACTTAGTTAGGGGAGTCGTAACGATTCATCCCCCTAACATCTTAAACTTATCGTGGTGGCTCTTCACCATGATTCTCAAGAGCATAACTGATGCTCATCTTAAAAGCCTCAAGAGCATAACTGCTGCTCTATCTCAAAATATCTCAAAAGGAAACGGACTGGCGCTAGTGACTAAAAACACTTAAAACGACTTCACCTTCTTGAAGGTGAGTTACCTCTTTAAAAAGAACTTGTTTCTCAAACTTTAACAATAACTCATAACATAACGCTTTAAGGTAAATAGCACAAAATCACCTCAAGCAAAGCACAAATAATCAATCATAAACATAATCAAGCAATGGCATATATTTCAAGTAAGCACATGTTTAACACTCGTAAGGCGTAGAATTTACCCCCTTTACACTCACCTGATCGATTAAGCCGCCATTACGAACATGGTAAGCATACACCAATCCCGGCATGAAGCTAATGGACCTTGGCCCCCTCCTCATTCTTCTATGCCAGGTCAGCAACCACGTGGCAGAACCAACCAAATAGCTCATCCAATTCTTCTCCTCCACTTGTAATTCACGAGTACATGCACCCCTTCCAATTCGTTCATCATGCATGGAAAAGAAAAATCACCAACAAAGGACAACGAGAATGACTTGAAATCTCTTTTCCCATCTATATCTCTTCCCCGAACCATCAAAATTGACATGGCTGTGAGTCTTGCGATCAAATTCTACTTCAATGTCGATCTCTTGGGGCAAGGGAGATCTCTTTGTAGCCAAATCCAACATGTTATCGACAAAAGCAGAGCAGAATTTTACGCCCCACTTCTTTGGACGAGTGAACTTGATCCTGACGGCTTCCATGGCGATACTACGACTGAACTTATCCGACGCGGCGGCGTCAAATATCTCCGCCAATTTGGTTGAATCGAATTGGGTATTGTGGAACTCAAGGATTGGGTAAGATCGCCAGAGCTTGGACCATCTATGGGATAGGCCGCTGGCTTTTGCAACTTCCTTTTGGGGGTCTACGAGTGAGAGAATCCTATGGATGATCTCGTCCGGTAATCTCGATATCTGGTCTACTTCTTTTTCTCCGCCGACGGTTGCGGCCGGGATTGTCTCCAGGCGACGGCGATTGCAATATGAAGACATGGTTTAGGTCTTTAGGGGCGGGTGGGATTTTAACTGGCGGTCTAGGGTTTTAGTTAGTCCAAGGTTAATAGTGGAAATTCACACTTGCGGGTGAGTTTAATCTGAAACTCAATTAATATCTGTAACTTTCTCATTTTATGTCGTAATTCGACACCGCTTGAACCGATAGTTCACATTTTTAGTCCTATTCGACATTACTGTGAAACTTGACCCAAGGGTATAATAGTCATTTTGACTTTTGAGAAGAGCGGGTGTAACATTTCCTCCACCCTTATAAAAATTTATTCCCCAAAATTTGATCGGGCTCATCCTTTCATACTCCTCATTCTCGTGCTTCTTTGGCTCAAGATTTCACTCTTTATATATGAACTTCAATGGAGTTCCCTTACCTTGTCTTGAATAGCTTACGATAGTTCTTATATGTACTCTTGACCATAACATATATTCTCATCTAGCTTGGTAGCATCGAATAGGTTTCAGTGACTCATTGCCCTTTTCAAAAATTTCCAACTTGGGCCCAGGGTGTGATGGGACAAAATTTCGGCTCAATTTATTTGGTCCAACTGATTCAGTACTTGATGTTGAACCTATCAAAGTCGAAGTATCACAATGAATATGTTATTCAACAGGTGGAAAAGGATGAAGGAAAACATGGAAACGGTAATTCTTTCAAAGTTCATGCTTATGACTATGATTCTTTAGGTGAAGAAAATATTGATTTTGAGAAGGAGTTTGCTTTAGTTAGCAGAGAATTTCATGGAATGATTAAATATAAAATTGAACGAAAGCAACATATATATGATATTGGGAGATTTAATGATCCCAACAAATCAGTTCCCCAAGAAAGGCTGCTTAAACAGCAGACCATAGATATGAATGTAGGTACAAAAGAACAAGAACCTCAAGCATGCTCTAAATGCGGGAAGAAGGGACATATTCGTGCAAACTACTCGCAGACTCAGAAAGCAAAATAACATGAAACAGAGACTACATGGAGCGATTTCATATCCAAATTGAACAACGAGGATGCCTTTATGGCATTTGCTTTCAATAGTCCATCCAAAGACGAGGTCTCCTCCGAATCTTGGCACAGTGAGGTTGAGTCCACTCATAGCCTTGAATCTTCTAAGGTGAATTCTGAACATTTCTTACATGCTCTAAGAAAATTAGAAAATGAATGCCATAGCTTGAGGACTAGAAATTGTTGTCTCCAGGAAGAGGTTCGTAAAAAGACTACTGATGCAGTCAACCTTACTAGAAACATAGAATTAAACAAAATTAGAATAGATGAGCTGCAACGTGAGAATTTTGTCCTTAAAATGGATAAAAATCATCTATATAATCTGCTAGAACATAAATATTTTTCTACTATTTCCTTTGGTAGAGAGCCATCCAATGTTTTGACACTAAAGGAACCCATAAAGCACCTTCCAAGTCGACCTATGTCCCATCCCACTAAGGCTGTTTGTAGAAGATTAAATCATTCCATCTTGATTTTTAGTCACAAGCATGTGCATAATAGGATGCATTATGATAATAAGATTAGGTCTCGTCATAATTGCTAAAAGAAGAATGGTTTATTAAACTGTTTTGCTTGCTCACAACCTCGTTATATTAGTAGCAATTTTCGTGAAGCACTTCCTTTATACTCGTGTCATTGGAAACCCATACTAAAACAGGTTTGGGTTCAAAAGAAAACTGCCATTTGATCTTTCAGAGTTGGGAGCGGAAGGAAGCCTTCTGTTTCTTGTCAGTGGGAGCTTTGAGTAAGGCGTTTTTTTCTCTCCTTTTTTGTTGCGTGTCTCTAAATGGTGGTAACTTCTTCTCCTTCACTGAATAGCTATGGCTGTGTTTCGATCGGGTAATGTGGTTTGTGCTCAGATATTTATACTTGGTATTCTTGTTCATATTTTGTTTGTTCATCTTTCTTAGCTTTTTATTGTCGTGTCTGTTAGAAAGGGAGATTGCAAATTGTGTGGGAGAAAAACATACAAATGGAAAATTGCAAACTGAGGGGGAGATACTCCTGCTGGTTTGTTATGCTAATTTCATGTGGCTCCTCTGCTGTAGGTTTTCTCTGGTGTGGTATAGGAAGAATGAGCAGTGGTGTTTATTCTAATTTCTTGCATATTGTTTAATCATGCAGCAGTGTGTTAATATATTTTTAATATTGCTTTGTTGCATTACATGAAGCATTACTCCTATAAGTATTGGTTCTCATGCCTATGATTCTACATGTCAGCATGGAAAATTGGATCTCCTCCCTGATAAATTTACTAATCCATGTAATCATATTGAGTGTAAGATCTCTGCATGATCAGCTGCTCACATTTCATAAGGTTGTTTTAAGAGAAGGGATGATTGTGTTCTCTAGTTCTGACAAGAACGAGGCTTGACTTTAGGGGGAGACTATGACTGATTGGAGGAGGCTGTCAAATTGCAATTTTCTGTGGGAGACTGTCTCTTTTGGATATGTGTTCCTGGTTTCTCAGTTTATTCGTCACTCTTCACATTTACTTGATTGGAAAGGTGCTTGTGTTTGTGCACAGGAAGCCTTTGATCTTCGATCTCTTATTAAGGGGGATACCGTTGGGCAAAAATCAGAATCGCAAGGTCGTAGTTCTAGGTTGTCTAAATCAAAGGAAATCATAGGCAAATCAAGCAAGATAGCAGTCAAACAACCTTTCTTATTCAGAACCAACGGTCATTTGCAATACTATTTATAGCGTCCTTTGTAAGCAGTGTTGAAGCATCTTTGCAGTGAGCGGAAAAGGGCTGGTGGGCAAAGAGGGTTAATCTAGATAGACGAAAAGGTTATATCCGATTAACGGCTGTAACGGATCTAGGATTTGGATATGGTTCTGTTCTTGTTACAATGAGTCTGTATTGTTTTGCTTTTCTTCATAAATCGCTTGATAGGAAAATTTAACAAAGAGAGAGTCTCCTAGAATTCAGTGGGTACTGATTGTAGGCCGAGGATTGACTAGTAGTTTGGGAACCTCGTTAAATCGATCTTGTCCCTTTAAGTTTCTACTGTGTTTTTGTTTGCAGTTTGCAGTTTTTGTCTTTCTCTGTTCTTGACCTACAACTCGTTTCTGGGGATTCCTGTCAAAGAAAGAAGAAGAGTTCAAGTGTCTTGCGGTTTGCGCTCTATGCTTTAAGCCGAACGTTTCATTCGTTTAAAATTGAGCATGTCACCGGTTGAAGTTGAAAAAGTTGAGCATTGTGAGTCAGCCATGGAGATTTGGACATGTATGGAAAAGACCTATGAAGGGACGTCAAACATCAAAGAGACTGGAATCGACTTGCTCATACATGATTATAAAGCATTTGAAATGCAATCAGGTGAGGGTATCCAGGATATGCATTCTCGTTTTACTATATTGATTAATCATCTCAAAGGGTTAGGAAAAACTTCTCAATCTAAGGAGTTAGTTCGAAAAATTTTAAGATCCCTTCCTAAGGAATGGCTGCCTAAACGAACCGCCATAGAGGAGGCAAAAGATTTAAGCACTCTCTTTGTGGATGAATTGATGTGGTCTCTTCTTAGCCATGAATATGTTATTCAACAGATGGAAAGGGATGAAGGAAAACATAGAACAATATTTCTTTTAAAGCTCATGCTTATGAGTATGATTCTGTAGGTGAAGAAAATATTTATTTTGAGAAGGAGTTTGCTTTAGTTAGTAGAGAATTTCATGGAATGATTAAATATAAAATTGAGCGAAAGAAGCAGCATATATGTATTATTGGGAGATTTAATGATCGTAACAAATCAGTTGCCCAAGATAGGCTGCTTGCACAGCAGACCAGAGATTTGAATGTAGGTACAAAAGAACAAGAACCTCAAGCATGCTATATATGCAGGAAGAAGGGACATATTCGTGCAAACTGCTCGCAGACTCAGAAAGCAAAAGAACATGAAACGGAGACTACATGTAGGTATTTTGGATCCAAATTGAACGACAGGGAAGCCTTTATGGCACTTGCTTTCAACATTCCATCCAATGACGAGGTCTCTTCCGAATCTAGGCACAGTGAGGTTGAGTCCACTCATAGCCTTGAATCTTCTAAGGTGAATTCTGAAACATTTCTTACATGCTCTAAGAAAATTAGAAAATGAATGCCATAGCTTGACGATTAGAAATTGTTGTCTCCATGAAGAGTTTCGTAAAAAGACTACTAACGTAGTCAACCTTAATTGAACCATAGAATTAAACAAAATTAGAATAGATGAGCTGCAAAGTGAGAATGTTGTCCTTAAAATGGATAAAAATCATCTATATAATCTGCTAGAACATAAATCTTTTTTTACTGTTTCCTTTGGTAGAGAGCCATCATGTGTTTTGACACTAAAGGAACCCATAAAGCACCTTCCAAGCTGACCTATGTCCCATCCCACTAAGGCTGTTAGTAGAAGATTAAATCATTCCATCTCGATTTTTAGTCACAAGCATGTGCCTAAAAGGATGCATTATGGTAATAAGATTAGGTCTCATCATAATTGCTATAAGAAGAATGGTTTATTAAACTGTTTTGCTTGCTCACAACCTCGTTATATTAGTAGCGATTTTCGTGAAGCACTTCCTTTATACTCGCGGCATTGGAAACCCATACTAAATTAGGTTTGGGTTCAAAAGAAAACTGCTATTTGATCTTTTAGAGTTGGGAGCGGAAGGAAGCCTTCGGTTTCTTATTAGTGGGAGCTTTGAGTAAGGCGTTTTTTCTCTCCTTTTTTGTTGTGTGTCTCTAAATGGTGGTAACTTCTTCTCCTTCACTGAATAGCTATGGCTGTGTTTCGATCGGGTAATGTGGTTTGTGCTCGGATATGTATGCTTGGTATTCTTGTTCATATTTTGTTTGTTCATCTTTCTTAGCTCTTTATTGTCGTGTATGTTAGAAAGGGAGATTGCAAATTGAGGGGGAGACAAACTTACTGAATCGAAAATTGCAAATTGAGGGGGAGATACTCCTGCTGGTTTGCTATGCTAATTTCATGT